ATATGCATGATGAAGAGAAGTATGTTTTGTGTTTTACCATGCACACGACCCATAAGCTGCAAATTTAGGCCTGTTTGGCAATGTACTTGTACATATCGTGTGGGCAGAATTAGTGTTGCACCGATATTGATACTGTATCGGTATCGGTGCCGATACTGACACTTAAACGCAGTTTTGGCATCGGTGATGGCGATACCGATATATATGACTGATACCACAAAGCAATTTTTGGCGCGTGCGTGCACACCAGTAGACAGAACTTAACAACATGTCGGCGGTGTGGGACAACAAGCAGCAGTAAAAATGTTCATGGCAGAATCTGTAACGGCAGTTTTTGGTGTTAAGAACACACTAACGGAGCTGCTCACCTGAACGGCTGAGCTGCTTCTTTCACTAATCACTCGTCTGTCACTGTGTGGTTGCTTACAGTCTGAGTTAATGTTGTATAGCCTCAATTTAGCCTTTAGCATAGCAGCCCACTAGCCAGGCCTGTGCGTTCACTAGCCCTGCTTGTGGTGCGTCTCCATCGGCCAGCTTTATCACTCAGTAGTGTGGTCTACTGGCCTGTCACTTCAACCAAGCCAGAAAAAACACTGAAAGTCGCTGGTGCTGACAGACGATGGTGATATTTGCTGAACTGACGCTCAGAGATGCAGTGTGAGTGAACAAGATGCAAATATAAGACAAACGACTTGAAAAAGTTGGATGTGAATCAACATTCAGCTTTTTTCAGATATTTGACTTAAGTTATTAAACATAGTTCTTATTACTAATTATATAATAGTAAATACTAAACACATTCAATAAATAAACAAAAACAAGTTTCAGTATAATTATTAGATGCTTTAGTAAGCATCAAATAATTATAGTCCAACAAGTAAATGCTATCTAGCCAAGCTGAGTGTGTTTTGTTTGTGACGCAGAACATAGATTTTACAAAAATAAAATATTTTTAAAATGTAATTGTATAAATATCAGGACTTATAGATGAGTTAGGTTAGATAAAGTTAGTATTGGTATCGGTGCTCAATATGGGCTGATACTGAAGGATCAGGTAATGGTATCTGTATCGGAAGGGACAAAGTGGTATCAGTGCATCTCTAGGCAGAATATGTCTCATTTGTGTGTAAAACTGGTGTAAAAGGTTCTGTACATCAGGCCCAGAACATTTATTTTACTTTATGAGCAGATAATCATCTTCTTCAGTTTTCAATCTGCTTCATGTAAGCAGCCTCACGTCTTTTACTTAGAAAAGAGTTCATTTTTGCCTCTTGAATGAGTCCTTAAGATGGACCCTTTCTCCTCTCCAAGCTGAAGATGCATGCTTATACATCAGTGCCCAAGGCACTTGCTTTGAGGTGGAAGTGATACAAGATGAAAATGCCTCACATCTATAACACTTCATGATGAATGGACTAATAGGAATTGTCCAAATTACATTTTTACTTTAAACTGCATTAAAGTTAAAGGGGAATTCCACCATTTTTTCAAAAATTCTACACAAATGTAAACAAAGTCATTGCGAGCGGTTTGATGTGAAATGGCTCACTGGAGAATCTCACCAACTCTTTTTTTCTTTGCAGTGGTGGTGATAGGAACCAGGGGTCTCAATGACTACAACACAAATATAGCCATTTTATTTATTTATTTCCTTTCCAAAATCACCAGTGAACCTACATGTCTTCTTGGTTTTTATATGTGATGTTGATGATGGTAAAATAGTAGTAAATCTGTTTCTTTGAGGACTATTTTGCCTCACAATGCCATGCATGTACCCCTCCACCATGAAAGGATTAAAACAATTGTACTAAAATATGTATTAAATGTATTAAAAACACAATCATAAACAATGACTCTGACATCATGTAGTGTATTCGTAACCATTTCATGTAATAACTTTTTGTGAGGGAGCTTCTAGAGGTGATAAACTCTTCAGACGTCTGGTTCCTATCACCACCACTGTGAAAAATTCTGCCTCTGTAAGTTTCTCTAGAACGGAGCATTTCACACCAAACCACTCTGAATGACTCTGTTTACATCTTAACCCTTTAATTATGTATGAACTTATTAACCAGTTATCATAAACTCAATGAAATTATCCTTTCAGAATGATTTCCATTATCTACAAGAGAATAAACTGTACTGCACTGGTTCATTTAATGAGGATAAACTGAACATTGGTCACCCATTGGTGCCTGACATTCAATGGTCACCTGGGTGGCTCTAGAATTTTATGACAGGTCAGAGAAAAAGGTTGCTTTCAAATTACAGTGCTGCTTGTGCCTTATATAGATATTGGAAATCAATGGCTATAAAGGACAGGCTTGTGGATCATGTTCACATCAGAGCACACAATAAACACATAAACCAGATGAGGCATCAAAGCCCTGTCACTTCAACTTTAAGACTTAAGATGGGCCTCATAACTTTTTACGACTTCATATGATTGGCCTCTCTGGCAAACATCCTCTTTTTCTGTCAGCTGAGGATTTTCCCAAAGTCTGTGTAGTAAACCAGGCTTTAAGGCTTTACTTAACAGCCACTGATGACTTTATAAGACCTATAGATGGAAATAGAGGTGGGCGATATGGCAAAAATATAATATTGTGATACTTGAAAATTTCACGATACACAATATGTCACAATATTTATTTTTTCAGACATCTGATCAGTTGGAAGTGAGGAAAAGAACCAGTAGTGCTATCAGAGGTACTAGTCTACTATCAAAAGTGAATACAATGATTATTATTCAATATTTGGCACACTGTATTGTACTAAATCCAGTTAAACTGAACAAATTTTCTTCTCTTTATAATGGAAAATAGAGTCGGTCTGTGCTCTACAAGTACTAACGTTATGCAAGAATTGTTCAGAAAAATATATTGTATTCAATTGTGTTGTGACATAATTTATTGCGATATATTTAAGCAATAGAACACAAAAGGTGGTGTGTCATCGCAAAATAACATCATGGCTGTGATTTGACTGAACCGAATACCCTTCGTCAAACGTGTAGTCTCATCTTCAGACTCTGACCAAATCAGACTAAGCTGTAAAACTGCCACAATATCAAGTTTAGCTCAGTTTTGTCAATTTTTGCTAGATCAATATTAATGTTGTTTTGTTCCAGCCAGTCTGTAAAGCATCTTTGTTTGGCGAATGGTATTCGGTTCATTTCTGGCTAATTCCAGGTTGTTTAGCCATTCTTCTGTCACAGCTGCCGACAGAAAAGCTGCTCAGTGGTGATGACAGTTTGGGAATTTAGTGTAGTCTCATCTTCAGAGTCTGACCAAATCGGCTGTCGGTCAAATGTGATCTTAAAAGTGTCCATTTTCTGTTTCTGCGCAAAGTAAGAAGTAAAAACGTTCAAATGGCTTGAGCGTCTCCTACAGCTGTCAAAGTCGTAGCTTAGCAACGGCGTCTCAGCGGAGTGATACAGTTATTGTAAAACAAACGTGCTGTTATGGCGAAATATCAGCACGGTTAGAACGCCTCTCAACCAATCAGCTTGCGTGGCTGGAACTAGCTGTTGTATATATTGTCATATTAGATGGAAGCCCTAGATGGAAAACAAGTGAGTGAAGATGCTTCCAAACATGATACAATTAAGCATTTACCATCCCACAATGCTCTGTGGCATATACAAAAATGCTGAGCAGGCCCAGTTAACCCTGATTTTGGAGTCAGATGGCATGAGGAAAAGATCTAAGTGACCTTGATTTATTACTGGCAGGAGCTTCAGTCACAAAGTGACCTCTGCCTTTAGATCTGTGGGAAAGACATCAGTAAACAGCTGGAAACTGTGGTTGAAAGCGCACATTCAGTGATACTCACTGTGATGCTCGTGCTAGTGCGATGTGTAAGAACAGCAGTTCTTCTGATGACTGAGAATGTCAACGCAGGGCGAGATGAGACAGTGGGCATGAACAGTCTGCCTACAATTACACAGAGAGGGATATTGTAGTAGAGCTGCAGTGCATAAACCCCTCATTACATACATGAATGACCATTTGAGAGGTCAGTGGTGATGAACCATTAGCACAGAGATGTGGAAAAAAGTGATCTGGTTTAATGTGTCACTCTTCACCGTATTCCCCACAAGTGGGAGAGTGCATGTGCAGCGTACACTAAGAGAACAGTACGGGCCTGAATGTTTGACCCCTACAGTGAGGGGCTCTGGGGGCTCTGTTAAGCTGTGGAGGGTATTTTGCCGGCATGGTGTGGATCTACTTGTCTTCTTAGAAGATGGGTGACTGTAAATCAACACACTAGCTGATCACTTTTATCCTATGATGAAACATTTCTATTCGGGCCTTAAAGAGCTGACATGTTAACAAAGCTAAACAGCCAACAAGGCTGGCAGGTAGACAAGCTTCTAGAGCTAGCAGGGACTAAAGCTAGCAGGGTTTAAAGCTTGTAAGGCTAAACAAGTCGGGGCTAAAGCTAGTAGAGCTAAATCTAGTAGGGGCTAAATCTAGTAGGGCTAAAGTTAGTACAGGCTAAAGCTAACAGGAGCTATAAAGCGTACAAGGACTACAGAGCTAAGAATGCTAAGAGCACAAACACAGAATGCTAATAATCAAACAAATGAGCCAAGAGCTGAGACTCGCATCATGGAATGCCAAGGGCTGATGACGAACTCTGACGCACTGTTTTTAAAGCTTGAGCTCCGCCTCCTTGGGCTCAACTCTGCAAGCTGATTGGCCAAATGATGTCCTTCAGGTAATGATGATTAACACATAAAGCAGCACAGGGAGATAAGCAACTGAGAGGGGAGAGAACACAAACATACACAGGCACTGACATGTAACAAATAAAAGAAAATGAAATATTCTTCAGATTATCTAGGACTCAAACTTTTGTCTCTCTGTTTGTGAAATGTTGAGACTCTGTGTTGAGCTGCTAGTGAGCAATAAGATGTAAAAAGGGAGGAGTGAGAACCTCCTCTAAACCAGGCAGAAACTTCATTTTAAATGAGTGTGTGTATCTTTGTTCTGCAGGAATCGTGTCCCTCATCTCACTGGCCGTTCTCTCGTATGAGCGATACTCTACCATGATGGGCCCAACAGAGGCTGACGCCACTAACTACAGGAAGGTGGCGATGGGCGTGCTTTTATCCTGGGTTTACTCCCTCTTCTGGACTCTGCCTCCTTTCTTTGGCTGGAGCCGCTATGGTCCCGAGGGACCCGGCACCACCTGCTCAGTGGACTGGACCGCCAAGACGGCCAACAACATCTCCTACATCATCTGCCTTTTTATCTTCTGCCTTATCCTTCCTTTCCTCGTCATAGTCTACTCCTATGGTAAGCTGCTGCATGCTATCAAACAGGTGAGTCACGATGCTAAAGCTCGTCCACTTTCAGTCAGAGGCTCGTTTTGTGCGTCTTTCGTAAAAATGTCCATTTCATACTGCGCAAAAGTCAGAGACCACCCTTCATCAAGTACACGTTATTCATTCTCCATGAGATATTTCGGAGCAGATTAGATATAAGAGGATCAGTTTGGATAAGGGAGGGGAATGTCGAAGGGAAGAAGTGTAAAAACAGGAGCTTTCAAAGCAAAGACTGAACTTTGGAGGCCAGAAAAATATGTCTGCGAATTTCTTTGAAAAAATGAAAATGAGTCTCCTGAAAAGAATGGAAGAAAATTTGATATTAGGTTTAGTTGTCAAGGCTTTTATATAATTTTCCGTAAAAAATATGTTTTCTGTTTTTTCCCCCTTTGTTTTCTGCTTTTTAACTGGAAATTAAATAAACACAGGGTGGTCTCTGGCTTTTGCACTGTACTGTAACTCCAGTGTTGCAGTCAAAAACCATGAAATTGCACATTCAAAAACTTAAAGGGCCATTTTTGAAGCCCTGAAATTATTTTCTTATTAATATTTCCTTGGATTTTGTTGGCAGATAAGGGCGAGAACCTAAATGGGTGAATCTTACTATGTACAATCTGTCAGGGATTAAATAATATAGAAAATATTGCATTTGCAATTCACACTGGTTGAGTATTTCTGCGCAATTCTACAAACAAACAATTCAGTTTTATATCCAACATGTTGTGTATTTTATTTTTTCCACTGTGTGGTTTTGTGTACACTCTTAAAAAAGATGGTGCTTCAAGGGTTCTTTAGTAAAGAAAATGGTTCTATATACAATCATAAACACTCAAAGTACCCTTTGTGTGATCAAAGGGTTCTTGCATCATGAACGGGTAGATGGTTCTATATAGAACCTTTTTGAAAATGGTTCTATACAGCACCCAAAAGTGTTCTTCTATTGTTACGGTGTCAAGCTTATAACAACAGAAGAACACTTTTGGGTGCTATATAGAACCCTTTTCAAATAGGTCCTATATAGAACCATCTAAAGCACATTCATGCACATTTTCCATCAATCTGAAGAACCCATTCATGATGCAAAGAACCCTTTAATCATACAAAGGGTTCTTTAAGTGTTTATGGTTCTGTATAGAACCATATTTTCTACTAAAGAACCCTCATTTTTAAGGGTGTAGGAAATTTTCACATGACCATTTTCTAACTTCTCTTTAACCAGTAAAATCAAACAGGCACTTTTATTACTACCTTTAAGATCGAGATGTGTAGCTCTGTTCTGATTGGCTGCCCTCAATCAAATAGCAGTCTAGGCTGTACAGACTGGGGATTAAAGTTGGTCGTACCACCCAGAATCCATCGGTAGAAGAAATGCTTGCTTGTTTAATAGAGAAACCGGTTCCCCCATGGAGAAAACGGGTAGGAACCAGGCTAGATAATGAATATCTTGATATTCCTGAACTTATCCAGCGGAGGAAGTGGGTGGACCCTCACTTCTGCTTACACTTTAGGCTCATTTTTGACAGGGAAGCATGTGTTAACATGAAGCAACATGGATTTTATTCTCATATTATCCCCCCTCTCACTCTCCCTCTCTCCCTCTCTTTCTGTTTCTGTCTCTCTACCAATTATTCTCTAGCAGTCTTGTGGTTTCACCTGCATTGATTTGTAAAAGCTGTCACTGACTCCTGTATTCTCGGCCCTTACATTCACTGACCGATCCTTTGCATTCAGTAAAAACAGTGTGAAATCGTTGCTTAATTAATTAGAAACCCAAGCAGTTCCTGCATAGTGTGAGAAAGAAGCCCTTCCGTGCTGTTCTTTGCCTTGTCGGACTCTCGAGACAAATGGAAATGTGTCCCCATACCTTGCGCAGTGTGCACTAATAAAGCCGTAAATAAATAAATAAATAACGCCGACTCCGACGCCGCCGGATCCCCCAATCTAATATAGCACTGCTCAGACTGTACAACACAAAGCGAGAGAAATCCATTAATCTCCCTTAAAGTCTGACACATCTCACCTGCGGTGACTTATTGCTGATGAATGGCCAATCAGGGAGGAGGAGGTGATGTGGGCGGGGTTTGTAAGAAGCCTCTTGTTCTCTGCAGTTGTTCACTTCCATTCTCGGTTAAAAGACTGCTCTGAGCTATGAGTCACCAGCTGTTGGAGATGAAGGATGTAATGCTGGAGCTGTTACTTAAGGGCATCAGTGTTGGGAAATGATGTCAAAGTGCACCAGCCACAAAGTGCCACTTGTGCCATTTGAGAGTGGAGAGTTTCTCCGTAGGCGGAGTCCGAGTTTTGTGCTGGGGGCTGCAGCTAACATTCATTTAAGCCAGTTTTTGCACTGATGAAAAAAAAATCTGCGTAATTCAGTCATTAAGATGTAAACAAAGATGTATTATACTGGAGGAGACACTATAATTTATAGAGAAAACACAAATATGGCCCTTTTATTTACTATCCCAAATGACCAGTGATCCTATGTGTTTTCTAAGTTTCCTAGTGTTAAGTAAAAAAAGTTTTCATTGTGTACTCCTTTGCCTTATAAGGCCCTGCATGTATCCCTCCACCAAGAATTGATCAAAAAAGTCCCCTCCCCCCAAAAAAACTCAAAAGTATCAGCATATCCATAACCATGTCATGTAATAATTTTCTGTGCTGTAGCCTTTAGAGGCATTAAACTCTTCAGATGTCTGGGTCCTATCACCACCACTGTGAAAAATAAGTTTCTTTGAAATGGCACATTTGACATCAGACCACTTTAAATGACTTTAGTAACTTAACAATTCAATTATGCAGAAAATTTGAAAAGTTAGTGGAATTCCCCTTTAACGTTGCATTTAAAGACATATCACTAGGGATGGGCAGTATGACAGTATTGTAGCCAGTGGCCATGTCAGTAGTGGGTCACTACAATATGTTGTTATTGCTATAAAATACTTGTGCTTTTCAAATGATGATGATCCAACTGCATGAATTGTAAAGAAGATGCATTTAGACTAATTATAGAGAGCCTGTAAACAAGAACAACCGGTGCAGATAAACTATACAGCAACAATCCAGATTGAAAGCATATATCGGTCCACTGGTTTGATAAGGTCGGCACCCCACTGACTGTTTAGCACTTCTGCTCCACGCTCGGACCACCCAGATTACTGTCTTGCGTCCAAGCTCTAACTAGGTTTTAATCTCCTCAAACAGATTTTAAATGCACAGAGCCTTTTATTTTGGAAAATAAACTAAAACAAATATTACAAACAACTGAGCAAAAAAAAAAAATGACTAGGTCTGATATAAAATGATTTTATAGACAATGTTGTTGCTGACACTGAGCTAGATTAAAATTCACTAAACTAATTTATAAACTGTAACTATAGAAATGAGGGAAGGAAAGGTAAGGAAATTGGACTGTGAGTGGAAAATGAGCGATGATTGTCTAATACTCTGCATAACCACTGGTGGGACGCCCTGAAAACGCTGAGCAAAACCCCAGCAGACCGTCAGCTTTGTCATCAGCGGGCCAACAGTGGCCCACTATCCTCTTGCTATTAGTGAAGAAGTTGACTGGATGTAATTCCACTATGATAGATAAAGAAGGCCCTGTTCATACTGACATCCATCTTGAGTGATTTGCTTGTAAGTGGACAACGAGACATACAGTTGTATACAAAATATTGGATGCCCCTGATTAAATTATGTTTTGTGCATGCAAAAAATGTATTTGTGTATTTATTACACGTTTGTTAAATGTAGTAGTCATCTTAAGCCACTGTGAAAGTTAACGCTGGCTGCTTTGAGGGCAAAAACCCATGCAGAAGTTGGAGGCTAGTTCTGTGCCCTAATGTGGCCTAACTTTGCTTTAAAACCTTAGTATTTTTAGACAATTCCATTATCTCTCAATCCCATCCTTTTTTTCAGTCATTATAATAATCTTTTACTAGGTATGCCCAGGTAGCTCAACTACAGGCATGATCCAACTTATCCAACAATCTGATTGGTCACTGCTAAGCTCATTTGTTTAAAGTTCTTCTAGAAAGGGTGAGCAGAATTCACACATTATGTGCAACAATGCTGTTAGAGTGCCAGGCGTATAGGAGAGGTGGAAGAAACACTCCAATTAGACAGTATTATGTGGTCTCTGTGGAACATAAACGAGTATGCAACAGGACTACTCTCTCTCTCTGTCTCTCTCTCTCTCTCTGTCTCTCTCTCTCTCTCTCTCTCTCATTTCTCAGTGTAGTCCTTGTAAGATCTTTTCTAGAAGGAAGCCCAAGAGAGGAATCTCTCTGCATGATGAACTGTGTCAGGTGGAGAAAACAAGGCTCAGTCATAAGTAATGAAGGCTTTCTGATTTACTTCAAAGTCCCTGATAAATGCACTGCTGTTTTTCATGACTGGATTAGGTGGGATTTAGGTGAACAGTCCAGGTGTGCATGCTTTCAATTCATAATAAAGACTTCCTTTGGTGAAAAAAAACATCTGGTTTATAGCACAAACCTGACAACAAAGCACAGTTTGTGCTTGATGTGGCCAGAAATATGGGTGCTACAATTTCACTGCAGAGTAATCCATATGATGAATTTAGGTTCATATTACAGCCAATTGAGATGTAAGGAATAGCTTCAACAAAACAGCCACCGTTAGTATCATATAATTTGCTAATTGCTAATTAGCAGTGGTGAACTATCAGTGTTAGAGCTAGGCCTTCACTCCTGGCCATAAATGAAACAAAATGAGAAAAAAGCCAGCTAGCGCTAGCACTCCTATGGGATTTCTTATAATATGTTAGCACACTGGTTAGCACACTGGTATGGGGTAAACGTTCTAGATTAAACATGGACATAGGAAACTTGTAAAAGACATTTCTGCTAGAACAAACAACATAGACCAGCATAGCTGACCATCACCAAAACCAGCATATGTTGTGTTCTGGGTGCTGGTTTGTTGGTCAACCAGCATGACCATGCCAAGTGACCAGCTAAACAAACACTAGA